TACTTTTAGCTGTCGAAATAAAAGTAAAATCATTTTTGAATCGACTTAATAGCTTTAAAATTAAGGAAGTTATCTTTAAAATACCCACGGTACCTTACCGCTTCAATTGCATATCAATATTTTGGTTATTCACAACTTTGGAGCATTCATGGGTATACATAATAAAATAATCTCGAAAATATAGTATATTTGAAAATTTGAAATTATGACTTTCTGCATGAAAAAAATATTGAGAAATAATTATTTTGAATATTGCATAAATTAAAGTAAATCGCGAGAAAGAAAAAAAATATATTTTGCATTGTTTATTGGATCATTGTCAAGTAAATTTTTTTGTCATTGGGGATGGGTTTTAGGGGTTAAAACAATGCGATAAATTATTAATTGTATTATAATCAGGTAAAAGAATTTAATTTCCTCTTTGTACTACCAAATCATTTCAAACTGTTAAAAACTAATTTTTTTAAATATTTTGTTATTAGGGGTAGTTTTTCAAGGGTTGAAATATTGTAAATTATCTATAATACCATAAACTATTAAAAAGATGTCTATCTACACGTTCGGAAAGTACCGATGGTCTATCTGAAGTTACGTGAGAGCGAGTAAGCCATAGAAATCCATGCGATAGAGAAGGATGGCTATAATGAAGGCGTCTCATAGTCACCGCCCGTTTCGCCCTTCCACAAATAAGATCCACTTCTTATTTGTGGAAGGTGGAAGTCTCACGTAACGGCAGATGGACCATCGATACTTTCCGAACCTGTATAATGTATGCACTATAAAAATATTTTGAGGTCAAAGAAACTATTAATTTTATATTTTTATCATTAAGGGTAGTTTTTAAAGGTTGAAACTTTATAAAAATAACGTAAATTATAACCCACAATATAAAACAATATTTATTCTATATATTAAGGTATGATTTTAGTTTATATAACATCTATTTTTATATTTATTCAGTTTTTTAGCATAAAGGGTAGTCTTCATCCCCTAAAAATAAAAAGCGCATATCAAGCATACTTTTCATCTATAGGGTGAAGTAATCTTAATTCCAAATTTTCATAAAAATCGGATCTATCCGAAAGTATTCCGAGGTTTTACCCCATTTTTCTCTTCGTTCTATGGACTATAATTGCACTTCGATTTGGTCATTTCGCTAAATAATCATCAGTCAAATTACAGAAAAAAAAAATAAAAAAAAATTTACAAAATACGTAAATAAAGATAAGTGCAACCAAACAATTATCAAAAATATCTCCCTAAAAATAATTAAGCAAAATTATAGAAATTAGAAGTGTTTTTCAAGAGCTTCAAAAGGTACCATAACTTCGACAGTTGGCAGAGTGTCAAAACAAAGATTTATCCTGTGAATATTACTGTTAACATTTATCATATTAAAATTAAACTCAAACATTACCTCAATCTTAGACCAATGTGTTCGAACCACAATTTACAAACGCCACCATTCGGTTATCACTTGTTCTCCCCGTACATCAATAACAAACGACCTCGATTTTTGATGAGGCATCTAGATAACTTTATTACGCGACAAGCTTAGTACCGAACAAGTTGATTTTTATCTTTGCGAAAACGATAATGATCATAACAAATCGAATAAGTTTAATGTAACGCATGAGCTCATACCACTATCAAGATCGATCGACATTAAAATAATCTTTCCCATCCCAATCTAACAATCGTGCATCTTTAGAACCCGTATTACTTTTTGCAAATATAAAAGCATCTACGTCTGTATTTATTTATATTTTGATTGATCCCCACCAAGCGATAGAAAAAACTCCTTTTGCAATATTTAGGTATGTAAATATCTGCAGGATATATTCCTCTTGAAACGGTATCAGTACCAATGATATCCTCTACAACTTTTTAAAAATATCCTGTACACTATAGACCAACAACGATTTCTGGGTGTGATCTGGTGAAGAGTGAACTTTGGAGCAAGTTCATCAAAAAGACGCTCGCTGTATCCTCTTGGGAAATACGTAGAATTCTAAATCTCTTGTTGAAATTGACTCACCCTGTACATTCTTTAAAGTTAAAAGTTAAAACTGTAATGTTCTAAATGGATAAATATTATAAGTGCTTGCTGGGGCTTACCATCGGTCCAAAACAGCAGACGTGCCGTGCATATCCCACGGAAAAACCTCGCGGAAAGCCCGACCTTAACCCTCCTAGCGGGCTGTGAAATTGTTCCCGCCCGCTGCCGCCACCGCCGATCGCCCGAATCGATATTAATGCGGCGGCCTCCGTCCCGTTTTCATATAAAATTTACGAAAACATCCAAAACAACCCTTTGGCGAGGGGGGCCAGCGCGCGGCTACGCCCGGAATCTGTCAGAGCGAACGTGGCATGATTAATGAACGGTTCCGGGAAAACGATCGCCTTCCTCGCCGCAAATTTTATTTATATGTAATAATCGTTGCGAAACGAGGCTCTTCTGTAGTACTATGCGTAATACGGTAAACAGGAATTGGGAAATTGACGGAAGTTTATATCATCGCACAATACAGAACTGATTTACGTCTTTGTTTGTTTTGGACGAACTCAAGGATTTCCGACCGGTCCGACGAAATATCACTTTCGTGTCGTTCTCGAGAATCCAACTTTTATGGCGAGGCTATTAACTAATGTTTACGAAATGTTAGGAACTATAGTCTGTTTAGAAATGAAAGAGAGTAATAAAAGCTTATTATGTATGCAAATCGTAAATAAATGTAGTACTGGTGCTTATATTATAGATGAGGTGTACTTTTAAAAAAACTGTGCGTTCGGACTGTACTAAATTGTAGCAGGTAGCTAAAATTTAATCCCCGACAATCCGTCTTTGCCTATGCCGCTTCAATTTCTCGGTCCATTTCTCTTATAAGTAAACAATATAAAAACAGCATTTCAAAACATGAGGCTACTTTAAGCATCATAACCGGGTTAAGAGAGTTTTTAGTAATTCAAATAAAATTATTCAATATTATCAAAATATTTATTTAAATTTAATGAATAGACTTTTATTCCACACAAAAATATATGTATTTTGAAAATTCAAATTATGGTGAGTAAATGTAGTGTTGTATAAATGTACAATAAAGAAAATAAAAAAGTACGTATATTAAAATTCATCGTCTGAATATTCTGATGAATTATCTTCGTCTCCTAGATTGATAACGATAGGTTCCACAGTAACGTCAATTAAATTATCGAGTTCCCACATTTTCTCCTCTTCTTTTTGTACATGATGTATACATCTTTGCCAGTTATCTGCAGTTACTCGTTCCAAAGAAATTTTTAACAAAATTTTCACGTCACTTAATTTAAACGTCGTATTATTTCGCGTTACATCTCCTTTTACCTGCGCCCAGACTAATTCGATTGGGTTAAGTTCACAGTGATAAGGTGGTAACCGTAGTACCGTTATTAGGCGATTTGTTGCCATTTCATCGATAACATATTTTTTCTGATCTTTATTAAGATTGACAAGTGTCAAAAGTTCCTTTTTCTCCATATTTGTTTCAAAAGAAATGTTTTTTCCGGATAACCATTGAATTATATCGGCTTTCCTCCAAGCAGTCGTAGGCGTCCGCTCGGTCTGCCGTGAATGGTAACTGGCATTATCCATGACAATTACAGACCCCGGAGGAATAAGATCCAACATCTGTGTAAAATACTATTCGAAAACATCTGCGTTCATGTCTTCGTGATAGTCACCTGTATTTTTAGATTCAAATAAAAGTAAACCGCCATCTACATAACCACTGGCACTACCTATATGTGTCGCTAAAATATACTAATGTACACCCATTACCTGTTAGCATTAGTGTTACCCGATAATTACCTGAAACGAAATATTAGCACGCCCATGGCCGGTTCTTATCTCGGGGTTTTATTACCCTCTTTAATTTCCAAACAGAGTATAGAGTCAAATATACGGGGTGGATCAATCGGAATATCGAAACGAGAGAAAAAAAACAGGGTGCCATTACTTCAGCTCGTGATAGAGTAATCATAAATGAACAAAAAAATTGTATATTACAGGGGAATAAGATCAATAATTTTCAAAATACAGCGAGTATATCAGGGAGTTTCATCACAACGCGACAACAGCGCTTAACCTAACGCTACACAGCTGGTGCCCGCGGCAGATTTGTCCTACGGAAAAAATGTAAACAACTATTTTTGTGAAACATTTAGTAAATTTCAAGACAAGATTTTGTAGTACGTAGATAGCGTTGTGCTTAAATTTTGACTCGAACTTTAGTAATTATGAATCTCTTAAAACAGGAACTTTTAATCAATTATGAATTTGAAAAATATGTAATTAAAGTACCCAAAGATAAGGTTTTTTTCGTTTATTTCGTCGTATTCTACCGTCTGTTAAAATTAGGGCAGTCCAACACCCTGTATAAACATACAACACTTATAAAATTAGTATATTTAGTCCTTTGCTTATCATGTTTCTTTTATCTGTCGTCATTATTGGGAGAAGCTTTTTCACCAGCCTCTACGTTGTACAAACTGTATTTTAGCAATGCTGTCGTATCTTATTACGTTGTCAAGGTGGCAGTACCAATAACGGCCGGTAGCTAGAGGTTTATGCGTAAGTCTACAATACACTGGTTTTAATCGCAATCGAATTAAATATTTTTCACTTATTTTGTTCCACAAAAAGGTGAGAAAATAGTGTTAAATATTTACGTAAATCTTTTGAAAAAAAAAATACAAAAGGGACGATTTTACTAAATACATTTTTTTTAAATTTGCATCACTCGCTCTGCCTACTCTTGTTATGGGAACTTTTTTCTTATTATAACAAGGTGAATCATCACACGAACTCTAAAATATAATTAAAACGCCCTGTATAGTAGAGATTCTCAATGCATAAATTTTGAAAATACTTTTTTTTAGTACCAAAATCACTAATGAGAGATATTTTCGGTGCTTCCAACCCTCCAACTTATATTTTCTGAGTGCCCCCCCGGATTTTTCAGGTTCCTTGCCACCGAGCCCGGCCGACTCCGGCGTCTCCGATGTGGACAGCTCCTCCAGCGGGCACACATCGACGGACGAGCTGAAGGCCAGATTACAACCCTCCATCCACTCCCCCGTAGGCAACCTCTTCTCCAGGCACATGTCGTGGTCTTCCCCCGGCCACCACGGCCAGAGGCCACCCAGCCACATGTCGCAGCAGTTCTACCAACCCTTCGCCACGAGTGAGTATCTTTTACGTTAATTTCAAAAAAAAAAAGGACGCCGAAACATGGCGACACTTAAATTTATCCATTGTCCACTGGAGTTTGTGTAACGTATCACGAAAATGTGAAGTTTTACCAATTTTTTTTGGAAAAAAACAATACAGGGTGTTACAGGAATGTTGAGAGGTCTCTCAGGTGATGCAACTTGTAAATAAGAAAAAATGTTCCTATATTATCATTCTCTTATCTCGGTAGGTTACAGCTGTGAACCATAAAAAGTCTCCGATATAAACTGCTTATAGTCCATTAAAATTTTAGTTTGTTGAAACATTGCAAGTCAGAAATCTTTTTTGTCCACAGCTGTACAAGACTCAAAATGTTCGTTACATTCAAAGATATGAAAAAAAAATGCAAGAATAAAACTTATTAATGTTAATGATTCACAAACAAGAATATCATGCTATTGAAATACATTAATACACTTTTTCTGGTCGTGAGGAACCTTTCTGATATTTTAAGGCAAGTTTTTGTAGTACTGTCACACCCTGTATAGTTGGTTCCCTAATAACCAAAAAAAATATGTATGACATGAGAAATCAGTTGAAAGGAATAAATGAATATTTATTGGAAATTTACAGAAACGTTTAAAGCCCTTTAACAAAACAATCGGAAATTGTTATGTATGTATGTCATGGTAAATAATCGTACCACCTTAGACATTATGCAGATCGAAAATACATATTCATTTTAAGATTTCATTGAAATTTTAAATTAAAAGGGAATTTTTAAATTAAAGATTATACGGAACGCATAATAATACTCTTTTAGTGTGACGTCACATATTTAGGCAACCCGAAACAAATTGTACAGACCGAATCTGACCCTTGTGTACTATTTACATATATACTAAATGAACAACTTCAAATTAATTTATTTTTACAAGGATTTGGAAGTATTTAAGAACAATCAACAAGTGTTTCGTAAAATAAATACACGAATGTGCGTGCTTAAAACGTACAAAAAACGATATAAAAGAATATCCCTAAATTTAAATAAAATAAAAATTTAACATTAGCCGTGTTAATGCGCATGCTCGGGAAGAATAGCCTCATACGCAGGTGAGATCTTGTTGATGTGTTATCGCTGTCATCATTAGCGTGCTTTCTCGTTTTGTTTAATCTTGATATTTTCTAGTTCTAATAAGTATTTTTATTGTTTTTCTTGATGTTGTATTGTGTCACTGTGTTTAGCGAGTGTTTTTTCTTCATGTAGTTTATTATAGACGTACTCTTAACCTCAACCACAGTTTTCTTGAATGATATCCTGTTGTGAGACTACTTTAAGCGAAGTATGAAATTATCTTTAATGCGCATGCTCAGTAACACTGATATAATTTTAATTTATTAATTACTATAAAAGTTACTAGTGTTCTATAAATTTAAATATAGAAATTCTACAATTCCATTAGTTTGTCACTTGGGGTTTGAAACTTCTTAAATATTTTTAATATCGCCAGAACATCGCAATATTTAAGGTTAGGACAAAGAAGCAATTTTTTGGCACTTGTGTTAAGGTCGAAAATCGATCTAGTAAAAATACTGATAAATTCTTCATGACAATGGGGTTGCCTATTATTTGGCGTATGTGACATCACTACTAAATAGGTCTATTGCTCTAACGTCATGCTCAAAAACAGTCAAATCTGGCCATAATGTTAAGGATACTTTAATATATTTAGTAAATATACAGGATGTTCCAGTTAAGATATATCCTTCCATAACTCTAATAGCCACTCATGTATAAGTACATATTATATCATTTTTTCTGGGTGTTATCTAACTTTACTTTTTCAATTGGAACACCCTGTATATCATGTATTTTTCAATTCGCCGAAATTATCAAATATCTAGGAAAATAGACATTATAAACAGATGCGATGCGGTTTCCTCCATTTTAAATGGAAAAACAGATATTACAGATCCTAAAGTTTCAAAGTTTTCAATCAAGGATATTTTGATTTATTCAATACGATACAGACAATTGCAAAATTTAGTTTCCTTTCGATTTCACGAAAAAAAAAACATCAAATAACTCCTCTGAAACGGTAAGTTTTAGAAAAAGTGGCTGATTGCCAAGCCTTCTTAAAAGCGCTTCCTTACTTGAAAATTTGAAAGATTAATTCATTTTGTGCCATCGACAAAATTAACTAAAAGTTTGACATCAGAACAAACGGAATTTAAGAAAACAATTTGGCTTCGTCAGCGAAAAAATACCGATACGATACAAGATTTCAGTAAATATCGTAATAAATAAAGCTCTTCCACGAAATTATGCAATAAACAACATTTCTGTCGAGAATTACACACGTTCATATTTTGTTATTCCTCGCCCGAAGCCAAGTTTTTTTTTTATTTTTAAGCCCGAAGCCGGCTCGCAGCACATTTATCTGCAGCAGCAGTTTCCTTATTTTGTTGATTTGGCAGAGCAACACTCCTCAAAGTAAGGCAGGTCACGTCCGTGAGGCCAAAAAAAACAAATGCATCTGCGTCTCGCAAATTAACAGATCCTCACTTGTCTCGGCGCTGATTGTGAGCCTCCTACGTAAGACGCTGTTTGCAATGCGATTAGGGAAAAAATGATAAGTTTTTTTGTTTGTTTGACTTGGCGAAGATAAAGATAAAGTGTATCTGAAATTCTGCAACTGAAATTAAAGATTGGGCGAGAAAGGTGTCGTGCGCAATTCGCGGTGGTTTATTTTTGGTGTGCATTGTTCTATGACCCCTAAAACGCGGAATTATGAGAAAAAAATGCAGTAATTAAATGATTTTGTCTTGTTTGCTTTGTCTCTTTGATTTTTCAGTAGATATTCGTCGAAAAATGTTTTCATCATTTACAGAATTGTTGCAACCAATTTTTTGAAGGAATAAAAGCAATGCGTCGTCGTTTTCGTAAAATTATCAAGACCATTTGAATTTCCCGTAACTCGACTTGCGTACATACAAATAAAAGCAAAAGATTATGTCTTCAATGCCCGGTACTGGGAACTTTTCGATATTCATGTCGAAACGATTACTCTGGCAGTCTGACACGTGGAAAGCGCTGTTTATTACTGGCATTACCTTGGCAGAATTCCCGTAAAAGGATGATTCAATACCGCAAAATATGGTAGGAAATAGCGCATTTATACTCTAAACATTCCGTAATTGTTTACAATATTAATAAAATATGTGGAAAGGCAGTAAACTCGAGGCGAAGATACGAGAGCATTTCGAAAAGTAACGTGAAATTGGTTAATATTTACTACACTTTCCAAAAAACTTAAATCTACCTCCAACAGAGACCTGTATAGGTGAATACAAATGAGATATTATTGTATCGTCGAATCGGCTGATCCTGAACAAGTAAATTTTTATTATACCCAAAAAAATTGCAACGCTGACGAAAACCGTCTCTACCGCCATCAGAGGCCTGTCTAGAGCCACCAAAAACCACCCAGGAAGTCTGCAATGCACCAAGGGACCGAATTTTTCGCTATAATTTCAAATTTTTAAGCCAAGCCGCCTGAGACACCAAGCGGGGCGCCGAGCAGTCAATCTCACGGAGGCTACAAGCAGGGTGTTCGAACTTCGACCCAGGGGTAGTAATTGCAGCGACTAGCCACTATTACTGGAAGCTACGAGTATGGTATTCGAATTTCGACCCAGAGGATGTAATTGTAGAGACTATCCACTACTACGAGGGTGGTCTGAAAAGTTTCCGACCTAACAAAGATATAAGACTTTTTTTCTGATTTTTTTTTATTTTTCAACATAGTCTCCTTGTAACTCTACACACTTCTCCCAGCGATGCTCCCATCTCTGTAACCCGTCCAAATAGTACTCGGCGTTTTTCTCTGCAAAATAATTGTTCACGAAGGTGATTGCCTCTTCATTTGACGAAAATCTCTGTCCTCCGAGCGCAATTTTTAGATGAGGGAACAAAAACATGGCAACCGCTGAGGTGTGAGACGGTGCTTTGTCTTGGTGAAACAGGATTTTCTTTTTCTGCAAATGTGGCCATTTTTCCACAAGTTCTGGCTTCAGTTTGTCAAGTAATGATGCGTAGTATGCTCCTGTAATGGTTTTTCCTTTTTGAAGATAATCGATTAAAATAACTCCACGACTATCCCAAAAAACAGTCGCCATCACTTTCCCAGCCGAAAAAACAGTTTTTGCTTTTTTTGGAGCCGGTTCCCCCTTTGCAGTCCACTGTTTGGGCTGTATTTTTGTTCCGGGCGTATAATGGTGTATCCAAGCTTCATCTACAGTAATTAATCGGCGCCAAAACTCGGATTTATTGCGCCTAAACTGCGCCAACATGTTCATTCGAACACATTTTTGGTCTAACGTGAGCAAACGCGGCACCCAACGCGCGGACAGCTTTCTCATGTTTAAATGTTGATTTAATATGTGACAAACACGTTCTTTTGACATGTTCATAACCTCTGCTATCTCTCTCACTTTAATTCGGCGGTCGTCTAGCACCATTTGGTGAACTTTGGCGATGTTTTCGTCGGTAGTTGCAGTTTTTGGACACGATCAACTAAATGCTGTTAGTTGTTGACTAAAGCATTTTATAGATAATTATTGTCCAGATATCCAGAATATGCTGCTACTTTTCGACATACCCCCGTACACACAGCAAACCGTTTGGCCAAATACAGCGTACAAAGTTATATGTATGTATATACAATCAGTTTTTTTATTCGGCGTTGCTTCTTGAAAAGATAATAAAACGCGAGTTATTTATAGACGCCGATAAACGATGGGATTTTTTTTACCTTGTATTGTATTGACTTTGGAACCAAGTCGACGCCGTTTACCTGTGCAAATTTTGATAAAGACGAGCACCGTGTAGTGCGACAAACATTTTTATACGTCGTTACGTAAATCCTGACCTCGCGCAATGTCACGGATGTTACGAAAATAGCATATAACATCGTTTAGATTGGACACTCTCGGTTTCCATGCGACTTGTTT